TAAACAAATTAAGCACTGGTTGAACATCAATGTCTGCAACACTGTTCCAAATATCATAATTTGGCCAAATATATTGGGACAGTGGATTAAATAATCAGATAAAGCTCTTATACTCTTTTGGATAAAAAGTACTCACAACTATACTAAGTTAATAATTAAGCCGTTTTACAATACATCATCAAAATTTAGTTGTATAATTTTATTCTAGGTACATTATTTGCTTGTATTGGTTGCATTGAGAGTTTAGCCATGTGCTTTTCACCAATAATATTCAACAATATCTACTCAGCAACGGTATCAGCATTCTCCGGATCGGTATTTTGTGTAATGGCAGCATGTCTGGTTATCTCTCTATGTCTCACCATGTAAGTATAAAATTTTATACATTCACTGTAGGTTATTACCGGTATGTTCTGACATGTTCCCATAGCAACACGTTCTTCTAGTCACCATAACTAATACAAATGTAAATTTTCATTATTTCAACTTCATTCAAAATGGCATGGAGGCAGTCATTTTATTTTATTCAGATGGATTAATTTTGGTAGAAGATTAAGGCAAATGTAAATTTGATATTTCGCAATTTTTTTTGTATTTTGATGAATTTTACTGAATATTCTTATCATTCTTTTGGCCTCAAATATTCTGTTGTTGTCACAGCAGCCTAAATGAAACCATTTGTGATTTTCATGGATATGTAAACACTGTTGCCATGGCAACAGCACTGTAATATTTGATTTATATTCACACTTTGCTTACACCCATAATTTCTTATAGCTAAAAAACTACAGTGACTATGTAAATTACAATGCCTTTATTTTTTTTTCAGAGTGGTGCAACTGAAGGAACCCAGATCTGGTTATATTGCTATGCCTGACAAAAATATAAATAAAGATGATCCTGTTGTCAACTAATCTCTGATGCAGATTAGTATTAGTCATCATAACTAGGATGGAAGCCTTATAAGCTACCTAATCCTAAAGCTAGGGATTCCTTGTTTAGGATGATTTCATGTTATCGATATATTGATATTGCTGAAGTTGAATTATTAATTCTGACTTTCTATATTGTGTTTTCATTAAGCAATATTTTTTTTTATTACTCAGTCTGGGTAAAACTGTTAAGCATTCAGTTCATATTACATTCATGAGTATGATTCTCTATGCAACATAAGTGCACCAGTTATATTAAAAACTGAAATATGCACGAATAAACCAATTCTGTGAACAGTACTTGAATCTTGTTTATGGTCTGGATACCATAATGATTTTATTAGCAAGCTGTATACTTTATTCAAGTGAAAGTGTTTGGAAAGGGGTCTACTAACTCAATATTTATGATTGAAATTATAAATTAGTATTCTATCTCCAAAATCACTAAAAGTGTTGTTGATCAAGCCATGCAAATCATTGGAGTTCTGCTTGAGAAATTGCTCATATTCTTCATAGCTCTTGTCAAAAAAAAGCAGTATACTTTTAAAAGGAGTAACCATTTTCACATTGTGGCTGTCTAAAAATGTACAAGCAACACGCCAGTATTACCCTGCCTTGTTTACTTATTTTTTTTTTTGGTATTTTCATATCATGTGATATTGAAATTATATCTGTGAAATTTAAGTATTACATGGATTGAAAGAAAATAATGAAAAGATTAACAAACAAAATATAGCCATTGAAAACTTTTTTTTTTTTAGAGTCACTTCCAGTTAATTATTCGCAATAACAATTAGAACAGTAGAAAAAAATTGAAATAATAGAAAACTATTAAAACAATTGAATAGGAAATAATAAGAATAGTAAACAATTGAAACAATACCAATCTATCAAAGCAATAAAAAAACGATCAGAAGAATAAGAAACAATCAGAAGAAAATAAAACTAAAAGACTGATGTGTACTGCTGACATGTGTGTGTAAATTAGAAACGTTTGTTTCACAGTTCTTCACTGTGTGATATGCACATCTGGTAGGAAGGCCTTTTAATGTTGATTTAAGCATATGGAATGTAACATCTTGTCTTCCTGTTTCATTATACTGGTATTCCAGTAAATTGCATTTTATTACTTGTCTTTTGTTGAATGTAAATTCAACATGTCTAACATTGTGGGTATATGTTTTAGGTGCAATAAGCTATTATGAATCATTACTCTGTATCACAGTCCGGGACTGTGACTGTATGCATTGTAACTATGCAACAAGATAATGCAGATTTTCAAATTTCTTCCAAATGTCTAAATGTTTTGGAATGTAAATTTCAGTATATTGTCATGTAGTGAACTGAAAATGTACGTTTTGTGTTTTCTCGTGCAATAATTGCAGTGTTATGTTTAATTAGTTAAAGCGGGAGGGTCGTCACCTGCACACGTGCAGAAATTGAGTCCCAAGCGACTATAGCAACACACGCTAAAAATGCAAAGGCTCATGGGTAAATGCATGTTTATAAACAATGACATGCTATGGCCATCTGACGCACATGCAGGTGACGACTCCCCCACTTTAACATAATGTACAAACACGATGACTCTTTGGTATTATCGATAAGTAGCATTAATGAATTATGTCAGTAATGTTTAGTATATATATATATAGTATATGTACATATGTAAAACAGGGTGTACTCAGTTTTCAAAACATCTGACATCTCTTTGGTCTTTAGGTTCATTTCTTTCAATTATTTAACTATGTGTTCTTGTGTACTTTTGTGTTTTGGTTTGTGTATTGTTCTTAATTGTTTGTTTGTTTGTCAGTCATTTTGTGTTCTTGAACTTCTGTCACTACTATGTATTTGGAGATTGATTATTTATAATTTTATTTCTACTTTACATAAAAACTTAATAGAACATTTAATATTCTTTGCGTCACAATAAAAGATACTTTTGCATTACATGAATTTACGATTGTACAATTTTTAATCAGCCAGCCTTAAAAACATGTCACAAAGTAAACATGGGAAAATGTTGTTTAAAATGTATTCGTTTTGGTCTGAATAGTTTACATTGTTCACATGATTTATACAGATCTCAAAAGATAAAGATTGTCATGTTAAAGTGAATGGTACTTTTGTAACAGTATACAGTACAATGTATCATTGAAGCCACCATAAAATCATGTTTATTGTTAATTCATTCTGTGTGCAACTTCCATCATAATTGTTAATGATAATTTGAATTGTAGCTCTGTATAATAAGGATAGCTTCCAGAAAATATCTGGAACAAGACTATAATAAAATATTCTCCATTTTGTTATTTACTGT